TCTGGACGTTCCAGTCCTCTCTGTTATGGGGATGGAGCTCTTCTTTGTATCTGTGCGTTCGTTCAGACATCTCCTGCCCTCCTGCAAAGGCCTTCCCTTGGGAAAAGGAAGGGAGGTGGAATCGTAAATCAGACGTATTTCCTGTCATCTCAGAGCGAATAAATGAATGAATGAAGGCAGGCTGACGGACAGACCAACCTTTTGTGTAAAAAGAGCTAAAGATGCTAGACGTAATATTTCTAAAAAAACCTTTCTTTCTTCAGAGTACCCCATAGCTGACAACACAGTGGCCAGACCCTCTGGGCCTAAACCGAGGAGAGACTGGAAAGCAGAGAGTTAGGCCGGCACCGGTGCCCCTTTGTTATAAGGATGCCTGCTGCTTCAGAAGATTAAACTTTGCTACTGACCGTCTCACGGGGCCCAGTGAAGCAGGATCATAGCCCAGGGTCCACACAGAATTGAGGGGTCAGAGAGGAGACCCCCTAGTCCAACTGTAAGCTGGTGCATGCTTGTAGGACTGTGATGGGAAATATACCAGCCCCCGTGTGGTCTTGAAGTCTGCGTTCCCTGCCATCACCTGGGAGAGCCCTGACCGGCAGTATTCACTCTCCCCCGATCCCTAGACCTCACAGACAAGCTTTTGACCAATTCTGACACCAGCTGGCTTCTCACGTTGCTCTCTTCTTCAAGGTTGGGTTTGATCATTTGTTGCAATGGCCACACAGAACTCACAGGCGATACTCAAGATTATGGGGTTTATTAAGAAGTAACTGGTTACAATTCATTATGGGTCACAACTCAGGATACAGGTTTTCAATCAGGGCAGCTTTTTCTCAGTTGTCTGCAGGCAGGCTTCCCTCGACCCCTTAGCCCCACCTCTGCCTTGTTTGGGCAAGTGTCATAAAGCTCTTTAGTTCCACCCGTAAGTACCCAGAGGCACTCTCCTCCACCAGTAAGCCTCAGCCCAAAGGCGTTCAGCTCTCTTGCTCCCTGGGTCAGCACACGCGTTGAGTCCACCTTGCCCCGCGGGCCGGGAAGCTCACTGCACCGCCCTGCACGGGTCTCCTGGTTCTGCCACTCCGTTCCTCCCCTGCTGCTTCCTGCCATCTCACACAGTCTCCGGTGTCGCAGCCTCTCTCTGTCTCCTGGGTCGAGGAGCTTTTCTGTGCAGGGACTCCAGGTCCAAAGGACACACTCCATTCTGTTTCCTCTTGGTGGCATAGTGGTCCCCCTTCCCTTTGCGGTGGCTCATTTCCAGCCTGGCAGATGCCAATACTAACCAATCCCCTTGTTAGGATTCTACATACCTTACTCGCATCATCTCACCCTGACCAGGATTTGTTGTTGTTGTTGTTGTTAAGTGCCGTCGAGTCGTTTCCGACTCATAGCGACCCCATGCACAGCAGAACGAAACACTGCCCGATCCCGCG